ATCAGGGCCACTGTCCTCAAGGACCTTGTCAATTATAAAGCTGGTTAGGGTGCGGAAGCCATCAGGGCCACTGTCCTCAAGGACCTTGTCAATTACAGGGTTTTGGTTCACAACGACAGCGTTTTCTTCGTCCACTACCGCATCGGACACATCAAATCATTCCTCCAGGTAGTGCTGGTCGGAGACGGCTTGAACCTGGAAGCGTTCCAGCATAGAGGTGACGTTGAGAACCATTCGCGTTGAATTGATTTGTGTGGGGTGGTTGGTCGCCCGGAAGGGTTTAATTACGCGTGAAATTTTGGCGGTGACCAATCAAAACGTGGCAAATTTTGTTTCTCATCGCCCTCTATAACTTTGTATTTGATGCAGTCCAGTATTTTTGGTCATACTGGCCGCCTTTTACGAATGAACTCGATCTATTTGCGAGATGTCAATCCTTTTCTCGAAATAGTTCATCAGTATGATAGACATACATGTTTGAGCAATATGTGAAACTTTTTCAATATAGCCATAGGATTGTCGGTGGCCTAGTACTACTACCGAATAGCGTAATTCGGAGCGGACAGCCATGTGTCGTATCCGAAACCGGAAATGCAGTGCGATGCCACAAATTTTCCCTTTTCGCATCAGACATACAATTTCCAGCATCATGCTCTGACCTAGAATTGACTTCAACATGATAGATTGTGCACATTAACAAAATTACACAGGTTAGCAGAAAATAGAGAGTAAAATACTAAAAACTATCATACAAAAATTAGAATGATGTAACAGGAGGGTTCCATTCGGTGGTTAAATAGAATACTTTTGGCAGTTAGGGGAAGTTTCAAGTAGTTTTCAGAAATAGGCATGAGCCAATCAAAATCCATTTACCACTTTTTTTTCACGATTTAGAAAACGACGTCAAGGACCTCTTTTTCTACTTTTGGTATAGTCAGTTGCGTAAAAAATCGCACAAAAAGAGGAAAAAAAGTAGGAAACTAAAACTTGGAACCATTTTTTCATTTGCTAAAAATATCTACTTGGAACATGCCCTTAACAAAATGTAAACAGGTGTTTACATTTTGCAAACTGACATGATTGATTTACCTTACTGGCCAATTTTGACTCTATTTGAACGTATTTTCATTCCACAATCTAGGAGCGAAATCTCAACGTTGCGCTCTATTATGCGAGCCAAAGGGATCTAAAACTCAAGGAGGTTTAGGTTGGGTTTTTTAGGTTGAAGGTTGACGAAACCGACGTCAACGTTTGAGGTTCGAGGAGTGATTTCACGTAAGCCAATACGAAGTTCATAAATCTGATTACATATTCGTTGAAAACTTGGTGAGAGGTATATGGACAACAAACTTGGACAATTTGGATAAAGTTTAGGTTAGGTTTTTTTTAGGTCAAAGTATTGAATTTTCAGTTCAACAAAATGTAAACTGGGCTGTTTACATTTCGAAAACATTCTATATTCTTTTTAAATTAAGACTTGTCCAACTTTTCATTCAAAATTATACTAATATTACGTTTGCCAGGCGAAACCAGTTTTCGCGATTTCCCGCAGCCTCCTGATTACTTAACGTTACGGAGGAAGTACTGTAACGTTAAGTTCGTACGTATTCGTTCATAATCATATTACAGTATACGTATAGTAATCGGCTACCGTAGAAAACCTGGTCCGCCCAAGATGAAGCGTATCAAGTCGCATGGTTTGTATTGGTACAATTCCCTCATTAAAACAGTTCCACTATTGTTTTGACCCCAAATACTGTTTCAATGAGTGTTTATATGGAATATTGTATAAACAGACCACCTCACCTCTTACTAGGGGTTAAGTCATCTCAGTAGTTAGCGATAGCTAACCACTAGCGATGCAGTTAACCCCGGAGATTTAACATCGTATGTACTCACCGGGGGTAGGACGGAGTCCCAGGTTACAGGGCTACTGGCGGAAAGGTGTATCTGGATGTAATAATTCCCTCATTGACACAGTATTTCGGCTCAAACCAACAGTGCAACTGTTTTACAGTTAATGAGAGAATTATTCTTTGTATTGACAGTGAGTACCACTGTCCACGAGCATAAGACCTTGAGCCTTCAGTGGACAAGAATTTGAGTGCATGCAATCCTCGAACTGTAAATAACCGAAAAAACATGGAACGTTTTATATCACCTCTATCTTACGACCAGTTCTCAGATTATCCTGCTGATTATGGGACTTCCCGATGATTGTGATTTCAAGGAAATATCAGATTCGAAATCTGAAGTGTTTTTGCGAATAATTCCCTGATTAACAGTAAAACAGTTCCACCGTTGTTTTGACCCGAAATACTATTTCAATGGACGACTGCCAAAAATCTCGCAAACGTACATTTTCTTTCGTAATAATAATAAAACAAAACCCTCCACACAGTTGTAAGATGCGAAGGCGAAAAATCAGTCTTCGCAAGTTTGTTCACAAACTGCAAAAGAGCAAAATATACTACTAATAATAGTACTACCTAGTATTTGGTATGCAAATTAAAACATCAAAGCCTCTATAAACTGATATTTCCAGAACGTAATGAATTTGGGTTTCCCAAAATTCTTCTGTCCGGAAGAATTTGACGAATTTATTTTCGTTTGCGAGATCATTGTCAGTCATCCAATGAAGGAATTATCACATCCGGATACACCTTTTCGCCTGTAGCCATGTAACCTGGGACTCCGTCCAACCCCATACGATGCTAAAGCTCCGGGGTTAAGTGTGCATCTCAGTGGTTATCTAAGTGGTTAGCGACCACTAGCGATGCCGCTATTAATAGTAAGAGGTGAGGTCGTCCGAGTACAATGTTCCATATAAACAGTCATATTTCAGTGTTTTCTGAGAAAAACAACAGTGGAACTGTTTAATGAGGGAATTTTACTTGTTTATGCTTACTGTACTAGTACGGAGTAGTACTTTACTACAGTGCGCGTCATCTCACAGTCAAGCCTTGAATTTCTACAAAATGGTTTACTATTAATAGTACATGTTTAAAAGATCAGATGTTTGAGAGGTTTCACTATAATATATACCTGGTAAGTACTATTAATAGTAGGAAGTTTTCGTAAATAACCTGCGAAAGTGTATACTGCTACCGGATAGAGTAGGCATTATCCGGTACACGATAGCTTATCCGGTCAAACTTGGTTCGCTGGGACTACTACGAAGTGGTACTAACTACTGTATGGCCTCCATATATTTTGTCAATTTGTGAATTTCCGCGATTGGCTTATATTACTAGTCGATTTGTCGTGCGCTAAACTATCAATTTTAGAGCGATTTCACTCAAAATTTGTCATTTGAAGATTTGTACGAAGCGGTTTTGGACCTCATATTTTCTACAGGCTATTAATATACCAAAAACACCTCAGTACTGCACTATTAATACTACGTAGTACTTCCAGCACTACTTAAGCTTAGTAGTAAGTAGCTCACTCACATCCGAAGATCCGGATAATTTGACAAAAATTGATTTGCAACTTTTAACTGGAGGACTGAAATACATGTACTGTACTTACTGTATCAAAAACACCGCAGTTACCCTGCAGTACAGTAGGTCACACAAGATCGCGTACATCAGGAGCTCTGAAAAATTTGGCGAGGTGATATGCGAGTGTTGCATCACTTTCCCTCTGAGGACTGGAGGACTACAGTAATTCCCTGAGAGCAACACTTCCACTGTTGCTTACGCAATCGTTTCACTTATTCCGTTTATGCCATAGTCAAATGCAGTTTAAAGCAAAACAACACATTCCAGTGGTTAGCGATAGCTCACCGCTGGCGATGCACTTAACCCCCGGTTCAGCATCACAAGGGGTCCGAGGGTTCCGAGGACTACTGTAGTTCTATTGATTTGATTACGTAAGCAATAGTGAAACTGTCGGTCTCAGGGAATTATTCGGAGGACTACTGTAGCTCGCGTACATCCGGATTTCCGGATAATTTGACAAGGTGATATGGGTATGTTGCATCACCTTTCCTTTGGTGCCATTCGTCAATTTCCGCGACTCTGATGGGTGCTACGACGACAGATGACGCGGAGGGCTGGATGGCATTGGACGTGGATTTCGAGACTAACGAACATGAGCTACAGGTTCGTTCATCTGTAGCATCACTCAAAGTTGCTACACGGTTTCATGTGAAGGTGATAGTTTGGAATTCCCGGCTTGCCTGCATCGTGGACACTGTTTCTATTGGGCAACGGATCACCTACCCATCAACTCGGTCTTCTCACTGGGTACGCTACTGTACTGTACATGGTCATCATTGCACGTATCCACAATAAGGTCATTTCATCTATGGCCCACGATGGGGTGTGTAGGAGCAAGACGGAAGTGGACGTGATCGACTTTTCCTGCATCAATGGGTCGTTGGACAACGCACCGGTTGACATCGCGGAAATCCGAGAGCCGCGGCATCGGCGCCAAGTGTGGCTTCGCAATGCCAAAGGCGAGCGCTTGGGCTATGCTTCGTCATGGTGGAGCAGTGGCGATGTACTATGTCTACACTTCCCTTTCTTCTGGGTCGTGCTTATTGATTGTGCATGTAGATAAACTCGATCTTTGGCCAAGACCGAACGTTTCCCATTGGCAGCAGCATCAAAGACAACAAGAAGGAACTATTCCGTGACATGAAGTCCATCTTCCACGGCCACTCGCCCGCGTTGGAAGCCGAGTTTGGGCATAAGGGGCCATTTTGGGGGCGGTGGTACCTGTTCAGGCAGGGCGGGAAGCCTCTGACGCTGATTTACGAAGTGTTTTCGCCAGGGTTGTGCAAGTACTTGGGACCCATCGACGCCCCATTGCCCAGACACCACCACGCTTAGGCCAGTTACTGTGTGTAGCCACCCCCGAACAACAAGCATCAATACATCGTCTAATGTTTGCCAATGAAGATTCCCTTCAAGAGGATGCACTGATGTTGTGAGATGATATGTGACGGAATACTTCCAGCAGCTTATATCTTTCCCATTCCCCAGAGCATATATAAACACACAGTGCACTTGTCTTCACTGAAATGTAAAGCGAGCCGTGGGTTAGTATGATCGATTCGTTGGCGTCTGTCCACCCACGGCCCTATAGGTCTGTAGAAAGCCCCCAAGTTGTCCGCCCGAAACATCGTAGAAGGTGGTTGAGGTCAGCCTAGTCGTCATGGACGACATGCGCCCGGTCGTTGATACTGTAACTGCCTCACCGTGCTGTTCATGATGAAATCTTTGTAGTGTATTGAACAAGCGTTAGGGAAATGGGGCCACGCGCGCGCCATTTTACGCCGACAGACGCTTGCGGCCTTTGTTGAATCGGTTGTTCAGGACGCGGCGACCGCCCACGGTCGTCTTGCGCACGCGGAAACCGAACTTTCGCTTTCGCCGCAACACGCTGGGTTGATATGTTCGCTTGATCGCCATGATGGGGGCCATGCTGTCGTTGAACTCGGGGCATTCCAAGGGCGCAGGGACGACCGACGACATGGGCGTATACATTGGCACAATGGACGACGACCCGAAGCTCGCTTGGATAGGCATCGTGTTACAGGTAGAAGCACGGAAGATGGTGTCCATGCTCATCGATCTCACGGATGACGGGGCGCGGAACGATGAGACGGCGGTGGTCGCCGATCGAAGCACACCGCGGGACGTAAGGGCGAAGCGCTGCATGGTGTCAACGGACAGGAGCCAGCCAATTTGACGCCGATGGCAGGTTAAGCTCCATCCCAGCGTTTGATTGGCTCTTTCATAGCGCATTACGATTGGTTAAATAAATCTAATATCAGCCAACTAAATCGCTGCATCAAACCTGTGTCACGTGACACAAATCTGGTCAAGTGACACAAAGTGACACATTTTCGCATCCTGTAATAACACAAACAAACAAACCCAGCCTCGCCGCCAAAATGGTAATGTGTGATATGTAAGCAACTCGTCTCATGATGGTGACCTTGTTGCAGGGAGGTTCGTCAGATCAACGCGCTGGCGCCATCTTGCTTGCGGTTTCAGTCGTGTCCTACGTGTACTACTTCTTGTGGGTGATTATCTCGGTACGATAATCCGTCTTGACCGATGATGGCGATTTGATGTGTCCTTTGTAGCCCTTTGTCGACAAGGATCACATCGTTCAGAGCTTCTTCCCCGAACGCTACTACGCCATCGCCATTCCTTCGGTGCTACTCGTCGTGTTCCTCACCGTCTGCTCGACGTTTATCGGTCTCGTCATGATTCGATCCAAACCTCCAAAGCCCAAAGTCGAGTAGTATATGGTAGGTATGCAAGCTTATCCCTATTATATTACCCCACCCTTTTCGTCGTCACGATCGAGTCCAGCGGCAGGACATCAACATCACTCGCGCGACGTGGGCATGGTTCTGCTCCAACGGAATTGAGATGCCTTTTGTTGGGAGCAAATTGCGTTGCTCCCCGTTGAATTGTGAGAATCGATGGTACAAATTGACTAAGTCGTGAATACAACGAGTCTAAATTGAGATAATGCGAAATCTATTGGAGGGCTTCTGTTAACGACGCCGTGGACGCATCCACGTAGCCCATTTGCGCGATTTGGCCGGCAGTGTACCCTTGCGCCTTGAGGGCTTGGACACGGAGAGCTTCCACTTCCTTCACGTCACCTTCCCGCATGATTTCCATGCCCAAAGGAATCACTGTGAACAACAACGTGGTCGCGATGATCCACGTATAGCGACCGCCAAATTGGTACCACTAAGAATGCACACGACAGCTTCAGTGCGTTGTTCGAGCCACATGATAGTAGGGACAATGGGATGTACCTTCCAGAACTGCTTGGTCGACCACGTGAACGTCTCGCGCGCTCGCTTGACGACGGTCGATTGCAACAAGCCCTGGGAAAGAACACGGAAGTCGTTGATAGTGAGTTTCATGGAAATGGTCAGGACGATCATGCATTTGATATCATGTGGACGTACGAGAATACCGCCGGGGGTGGAGTCGGGTTTCTTTTGCTGGTCAAGCTTCTTCAACGCGCCGATGGCCGACATGGTGAAGGAAGGATGGAAAGGAGGGAATTGGCACACTGGAGCCAATCGCGGGACTTCGATTCGTAACTTCGAAATAAAATGAAATAACGCTCCATATATTATTCAAGTAATACCGACGAAATGTTTGATATTAATAATACAATCGAAGCAATTCCAGGTCGAATCGAAGTAATCGAGCGTACACCGGGGCACGAATGAAGCCACGCAGGGAGGTGTCTCACAGACTTCAACACTTTGACCAAATGTAGCGGGTTCGTTCATATAGAGGAGTGTTTCGATTCGGATAACTTTCGCAGTAACTTACTCCAGTAACTATACAGTACGTACTACTACGTAGTACGTAGTATAACGTTTATACTATTAAAACTACAGTATACCGGTAGTACTATTACCACGTAGTATTTTAATATTAATATTATAGTACACTGTACATTTTTGCCCTCGAAAAACTGGATAAAAACACCATTGCTGTTCCGGATACTTGACATGAATCCGGATACCGTGGCAACTCCACCGATTCCGCCGATTCAAGTTTGAGCAAGATGGCAGCCTCATCGGTGCTGCCCAAGCTGCGTCTACTGCGTCTCCAAGGCATCCCCATCTATGACCAACTCAAGCTCGAAGAAGCTTTGTTCCGTGTAGACCCAGACAACTGGTTCATCTGGAACGAGCGTACGAAAACCACCAACATTGTGATGGGTATCTCTGGGAAACCGGAACGACTGCTCGACGTCGACGCCGTCGTGAGGTACCACCACGGCCGCATCCGCCACCACGTGTAATCACATGTATGCGCAGGAACAAAATCCCAGTGATCAAGCGATTCAGTGGCGGAGGCACGGTCGTCGTGGACGACAGCACGGTGTTTACAACGTTCGTGATCAACACTGTACGTCGGCATGCATGCACCTTGTCCAGCCAATGTCAACTGTGAAAAGCCTCATGCACCGTCCATGGCCATGTCGTTATCGTAGTCGGCCTTGCCGCACGTGAAGCCCTTTCCGCGCGACATCATGGAGTGGTCATCGACGTTCTACACACCACTGTTCCGATCCCTCTTGGAATCTTCATCTCAAGACGTAAGTCCATATATTACCGTAATAATATTTATTTTTAACCAAACGACGCAACTAAAATAAATAAATATATCCTTCCTAAATATACTCGTAGACATTTGCCCTGCGCGAAGACGATTACGTGTTGGGCGACCGGAAGTTCGCCGGCAATGCGCAAAGTACGCTCGTCCACAATTTCTAGCTCATGTTTCTGCACATGTGACCTGTAGGCATTGGCAAGGACCGATGGCTCCATCACACGTCGTTCCTGTGGGACTACTCGGCCCTGAACATGAAGTACCTGCAAAACCCGGCCAAGCAGCCCAAGTACCGCGCCCAGCGCGACCACTCGGACTTTTTATGCAAGCTCAAGGACGTCGTGGGGTCGCAAGACGACTTGTTTGCTGCGTTTTCCGACCAACTCGAGCGTCATTTCGACGTGACGCCTGTGACAATGTCACCCTGCGACATGGTTGCGCTCACGTCGCGAGACCATCGCAAGTCTACCAAGTGGGTCAACGTCGTCGTCCCTGCTAGCTAGTAGCTAGTTTTAGTTGCACCACGTTTATTCCATCAACATTTAACCCATTTAGACGTAATAATGAAGGTGGCTGGCTGGTGGTTTAAGCGTAGATCAATATTTGTTTTTTGGGTACCGATAACATTGTGAATTCGCTGTAAACTTTGAAAATTCGCCTGGTTTGTCGAATCAATATTGAATCACGCTGAGTTGTGATTGGTTGAATATGCTTGTCCTTTCTGTAAGAGCCAATCAAATATATCCACTCAAAATTGGAGTAGCCAATCGCGTCGATTCGTGATTCGATTCGACGGGGTTTGGAAATTCGTATCGAATATACCACAATAAATAGAACGGTTATACGCACACAACCATAATAATATCAGGGATTCGTACCCAAGCGTTGCAACAACACTTGAATATGACTCGACGGAGACACCCGTTGGACGTTTACCGCGACCACACGACGGGTATGGAATGGCTCGAGAGCTTCCCAACTGCGGCAGCTGTTGATCATGTCGTCGTCGATGCCGCCGAGATGGACGCGGACGTGGACCAGTTGACGGCAGGCCACGGCCGATGTCACTTGAGTCGTCACATGAGCTGGGACCAACATCTCGTGCACTTGAGCCCCCGTGTCAACGTACAAAACGGCCGAGAGGAGTCCATGGACTGGGTCGTGGATGGGCGTTGGCAGCGTGTATACGTGCATGGCATGTCCAGTGACGTGGCGACTTTCCATGTCGGTTGATGGCCGAGCAACTTGACCTTCTTTCTTGTTGATGGGTACGTTATCGTCGACGTGGATGGGAGAAGAAGTAGACGGCGGCGGATCGTGGTTCAAAATGGTGGTGCAGATGCGACGGCGGAGCGCTGTCACACGAGTCGATGTTGCGCTGTCGCATATGAAAAGCTCTTTCAAGGCGAGAAATGGGGCCCAAAAGTACGACGAGGGGGCGGGCGGGGACGTGGAAATGGTCGCCGTGTCGGTCATGACGCAGTCCAGTACGTCCAAGTGCGCGTCATAGTGCGATACAAACACGTTGCGAAGGCATACCAGGGTGCCGTTCTACAAGTAAGTATAACCGCATGTTATGGTCGATTTGATAGTACAATTGTGGGGAGGGGGTGCAATCGAATCGCGCCGACGAAACCGATCCACAATCGATCTGATGGGTTGTTGAATTTCATTGAGAAATGGGTTTTGATTGGTGAATACTTTTGAGCTCATCTGAAGTAGCCAATCAAATCGATTTAAATTCCAACGAGATACCACGCCACAACACAATGAAATTTCACTCGAAAGCACAATATAAACGTCTTTTTATTGTCAAGTCGATTCGGAATTGGAGTGGGATGCTTGCTCAATCGAAGGAGGAGAAGAACCAAGTAAATCGGCACACATCGATGATCGACCAATCAAAACCCACAACATATATATCAAGTGGCCAATCAAATTCACACGAATTGAAATGTGTGTGGGACTGAAATTAGTGTAACACTGGAACTTTTTTGATAAATGATATTGTGTGTTCTACTGTAAATTTCCTCTGGCGATTGGTTGAATCAAATCGCCGGACCTTGGAAATTTCATATAAAACTGAGTTGAAGAGGTATCTTTGAGACTGCAATGTATCAATTAACCTTTTTAGCCAATCATATAATCAACCTTCATTCTTTATAGCTAATCATACTCGTTTGCTCGAGTAGTTGGCGATTTCATCAATCCCTCAAAATAGCCAAATTTTCAGGAAAAGGACAATACAAAAATCACGACAAACAATAGATTTGGAAAATCCGCACAAAGGTCCAACTTTTGGGTAAAAGGACAATAGCATCATCTCCCCATGATTGGGATTCCTTCATTCTACTAGCAAGCATGAAAGATATAGAACCATCTACGTGGCCTCATGTATCGATAGTACATACTAGTACATACTAGAACCACCTACAGTACCTTCCACACCTTGGCTCCCCATCGCGGCAACTTTACACACAAAATAGCCCACGATGGGTCGGTGGCGAATGCATAGTCGTTGGTCACGTGCACAAGGTACACACATGTATCAACATCCTTGCCGCACTTGTTCCTCATGTCCAGCGCCGTCAGCGCCGATCGCGGCTCGTACCCGACAAACGCTTGGGCAGTCTTGTCAGACTTGATGCGCTGGATGGTGGTGTGTTTGGAGCTGGTCAGTCCGAGTTGGTCATGGGTCCACGACACGGCGACGCTGGTCACAAAGATCTCGGCGCCTTCATTGCATGCGATTTGCATCATCTCTTCGGAAGGTCGCCATAGAGTCAATATGGCCGTGGTGGTTATGGACGACCGCAGCCTTTTTTGAGTGGTGATTTCAGCTCGTACGGCCCACGCTCCATGCGAACAGGCGACACGCAGTCGAACGAACGGCGTTGGCGCACTAGTAGTACTGGCAGTAGTGTGGTTGGTAAGCAGAGGATCCGACGACGACGACAGCATGTGGTGCAGAAACTTGTCTGGAATCACCCGAGGGTGGCGGCCTTGGGTCGACTCTTTTGGCTGGAGGACCAACAGCTCAGATACGCGAAGGACCACGCATCGAATAGATCGAACCAACCCTCCATCTTGTTTCAACGACCGGAGGGGAAGGCTTTGCAGCAAGTACGCCGCCGACGACCCACAGCCTACAACAACCCATCACCACCGAGACTCGTCATAAACAATATAGAATACGTAGGACGAATAACCAGAATACAACATATATATATATAGTAGTGTTTATTCTAAACTGGGGTGGCGACATGTAGAATGAATCGACACAACCAAACAATGTACACAAGAATCACCCCCTATCACCACAGGACACTCTTGTGTACATACAAAATCCAGTGCAAAGAATCGATCGATGGATTTCGCGAATCACACAAATATCCAAATTTTGGGGAATCGGACAATATAAATATATATATATATATATATTGTCAAGTCGATTCGAAATTGGAGTGTTTGGGTGCTCAATCGAATGAGCACCAAATCGGCGATCGACAATCGATATACGACCAATCAAAACCCAGCACACGAATCAAGTAGCCAATCAAATCCACTCTTGGACCATTTCAACATTGAATTAGTGTGTGAATGAAATTAGTGTGAAATTGGACGAGTTTTACATACAAACGTCAGTCCAAAGAATCGATCGACGGATTTCGCGAATCAGCCCAAAAGTCCAAATTTTGGAACAGACAATGTATATATATATACATTGTCTGTTTCCCCAAAATTTGTATATATATATATATATATATATATATATATATGGACAGACTACTGACTTGGACGAGGCGGTTCCATCCCGAGCTTGGTGGCCCAGTGCACCCGACGCGTACTGTTGACATGCAGCGCCAAGTACGGGTCCTTGTCCTTGTCAAACGTTTTCAATGGCTGGCTATCATCGTCCAGCACCTGGTTCACTCGCGCCTCCAATGGATGGATTCCTTCGGCGTCGTTGACGAGCGAAGCATTCCACACCACCACTTTAGTGCCACAGAGAGAGGTCTTTACCCCCTTGAAATGGCCATCTGGCACGGCTGCAATGCCATACCACCCGTCGCTGAGGACCCAGTGGGTTGGGTACACGGCTGCAACGAACAGCACGATGGCGTTCCCAGGATGGGCGTCCCGTTGGAATATCTTGAGCAAGATGGAGCGCTCGGCTTTCTACAACAACAAAGAAAAACAGCATCCCATATACTTTAGTATATGAAACATGGGATTTATATAGATACGAGTATAGTATGTGAAACACGCAATTTCTATATATATATAGAATATATATAGAATATATATAGAATATATAGAATATATAGAATATATATAGAATATATA